TTTTTCCTTTGCTTCAGTTACTTACTTGTATTCTTTGATCCAGGTTAACAGACTGATGCACTCATTCGAATCAAGTCTTTCTTCCAGAACAAATCTTTCCAACTGGCAAAATCAAAATCAATAAGATGAACGTTAAATCACTTCAAACCGATTGAACCTCAGACAACGCAATCACGCCAAAAATCGTTTGTTTCTCGTCGCGTATATTTCACGAAGATCTTGGACAATATCTCGAGCAGGCCCGAACGTCTCGAAATCCGACACGACCCTCGACCCTAAATGTCTTCGAGATTCGAGGACCGAGGGATCGAGAATCGATAGTCGGGTCCAGGCACATGTATGCCCTCGGGATGTTGGGTATAACCCTCATGTTGTAACCACAATCAAACGTTCCACGTCTTGTCAATACAAACTCGTAAATTCGAAGAAACTACAATTGAAGAAAATACTCTGGTTCGTATCGAAGTCAACAAATAGATTTAATGAATGAAGTGACTTCTAAGCTCCTTACCATGACGGAGAGTGCCTTGTGATACATTTTGATGTAGCGATCAAATATATCATAACTTGGAGGGAAACAAACCTGACACAAGTTCTAAGACGAATAAGAACGTAAATATTACAATAAAAACGTGATAGGATTTATTTCTCTCCCTCGCCTTTCCCTCCTTTAAAAAAATAAACGATAGCAGCCAAACATTTCACACACAAACACCGAGCACTCGCTCTCCAAAAATACTCCCATAATGCTCTCTTAACCCTCTCACTCCCAAGATCTCATTAGTAATTCTCCTTACTGTCTACCATACAATTCTTATGCTGTTAGTTTGGAGAATTTGATGTTGGATCAACTAATAGTTCCCTAATTAAATTCTCATCACTTGTTTGTTTGACATAATGAAGAGAAATTCTTTCTTGGTCACTAATGGGAGTTGAAAGGTTAAAGTTAATAAAACTGCTTCTTTCAGTAATGATGAAATTTTTGTCATTTGGCATTAATGAGATAAGGGTGAGTAAGAAAACAAACCTTGACAACAATCAAATCATCCAAAACAAGTTTCCTTGTGCGTTCAAGATGTTTCACCAGCCACATCTTGTCATCCATTCTATCCTGCAGTTCCATGTCAAGACTCTCAAACCTGAAATTCCCAAATCATGTTATCACTGCTTGAGGTAAATGTAAATGTAAATACAATTCTTTCAAGGGCTCTCCCCACAAGTAAACCACAAATGAAGCTAGCATCCCCTGTGACCCAGGCACAGTAATGCAACTAGAGCCAACAAAGAACTGGTTACCCTGTGAAAGAGGAAGTACGAAATAGTGTGGTAGTGTGTACATCTTGAAAAATTTAAGGGACAGACAGGAGAAGTAGTGCAGAAAACAAGATGGTAAAATCCACCATTAATATACAACAAAGAAACACTATATTGCTCTTGAGTATGCATTATACAAAGTTATTAATAGCTGAAGAGGAAACAAATGTCAGAATCTCCCTAACCTGTCCACAGTTAGAATCTACAATGACATGTGACAAATATTCCAAAATAGCATTTAGTTTAAATTTCAAGAATTTTCATAACTGCATATTAACCTGTTACTGACAGACTCCTCTAGAACCTTAAATGCTTTATCTCTCCACTTCTTAGGCCGTCCAGGCACAGAAAATCCCATATTTGTTTTTTTTTCCTCTGCTCTTTTATCAGCTCTGTGAGTAGATGATACATGAATATTAAAACTCTTCTGATACAATACAGTAGTTTCAATTTTTTTTTCAAAAATTATGCACTTTAAGTGAATTTCAAAGTTCAACCAT